TCACGAATCCCTTGCAACAAAAATGCGACGAAGTGCACACGCGCGCGTCGTGGCGCGCGCATGCCGAAATCCTTAAAAAACCTTCGGTTCTGGAGAGATTTCAAAATTGAATTTCCAAACAACATACAAAAACACATGGTTTCGCAACACTGATTCAAAAAAAAACTTCCGCGCGAGCTCTTGCGAAATCTTGAGAAAACCATAGGTTGTTCAAGATTTTCACAAAATGCTACCAAACGGGCTTCGCGCGCGCGCATGTCGAAATCTGTCGAACGCTCTTGCGCGTGTGCCGTCGCGAGAATCCTCTGCAAAAAATGGGACGAAGTGCAGACGCGCGCGTCGTCGCGGGCGTATGCCGAAATCCTTCAAAAACCTTCGGTTTCGGAAGAATGTCGAAATCGTGCGTCCAAAAACCTACAAAAACACAAGGTTTCGCAACACGGGTTTTCAACAAAATTGTGCGCGCGCGCTCTTGCGTCGTCGTCGTCGTCGTCCTCCCTCCTCCCTCGTCGTCGTCGTCGTCGCCGTCGTCGTCTTCTGTCTTTCCTCGTCGTCTTTGGCGTCGTCGTCGTTCCCGTCGTCGTTGTCGCCGTGGTCGTCCTCCTCCCTCGTTGTCTTCGTCGGCGTCTCGTCGTTGTCCCTCCTATTTCGTCGCCGTCGTCGTCGTCGTCGTCGTCGTGGTCTTCACTCCTCCCTCGTCGTTATCCTCCTCCCTCGTCGTCGTCGTCCGTCGTCGGCGTCTCGTCGTCGTCCCTCCTATTTCGTCGCCGTCGTCGTCGTCTTCGTCGTCGTTGTCATCGTCGTCGTCTTCCCTCCTCCCTCGTCGTTGTCATCGTCGGCGTCGCCGTCCTTCCTCCTTCTTCGTCGTTGGCGTCGTCGCCGTCTTCCCTCCTCCATCGTCGTTGTCGTCGTTGTCGCCGTCGTCGTTTTTTCTCCTCCCTCGTCGTCGTCTCCGTTGGCGGCGTCGTCGTCGTCTTCGTCGTCGTCGTCGGCGTCGTTGTCGTCGTCGTCGGTGTCGTCGTCGTCGTTGTCGTCGTCGAAAACATTGGAGACGTCGTCGGTGTCGTCGCAGTCGCTGTCGGCGGCGCCGTCGTCGTCGATGTCGCTGTCGTCGTCGGCATCGGTGTCGTGGCCAAGTGCCACGCAGTACCTACCGCCATGGTCTTGTCTGAAGATGTCTTGCGACCAAGTTGCGGGTGGGAGGGTGGGATGTTTGCACGAGCAGTGGAGAGGACAGCTTCGAGACAGTCGAAGTGGACTGCACAACGTAGATCGTTCCCCATAGTTCGCGTAACGAAAATGGCTCCACATATATTGCACCGCGTGGGTTGCGACGCGTAAATTGCACCACCTATATTTCACCGTAGATGGCACGACATAGATTGCATACCGTAGATAGTACGTCATAAATCGCACAGTCTGGATTACATCACATAGCTTGCACCATGTATATTGTACCACGCTGGTTGCACCACACAGATTGCACACCGTAGCTGGCACGACATATATTGCCCCATATAGGTTGCAAAGCGTAGGTGGCACAAGCTAGACCGCACAGCAGTATGGATGCACAACGAAGACTGTACATCGTAGATCGCACCACGTGCGCTGCACCACGTTGATTGCAACGCATAGGTTGCATCACGCAGGTTGCACCACACAGGTCGCACCACACATACTGCTCCACATGAGTTCTCATTTCTTAAAAGCGAATAGACTCTACCACCTTCCCCTGTGATTATTCGCTTCCATTTTCGTCTTGCAAATTACATACGGTTCTGCCCCATCGTCCATCCTAAATATGAGTTCGTACCATCCCAGCAGAGCCGGTATCCGCCCCCCCCCGCCATTCTTTGCAACATCTGCTATGCGCGCGTACTCGTCTAACACAAATCATCAGTTTCCAAAGATCCCTTGCAACAGAAAACGAAGTGCACAAGCGCGCGTCGTCGTGCGCGCGTGACGGAATCCTTCTAAATCCAAAAAAGGTTTCGTAAGGATTTTACAATCGAATGCGCACAAGGTTTCACAACAAGGATTCTCAAACAAAAACTTGCGCGCGCGCTCTTGCATTTGCTCTTGCATGTTTTATAAAACCATCGGTTGTTTCAGGATTTCCAGAACATGCTTCCAAACGGGCTTTGTGCGCGCGCATGTCCAAATCGTTCGAACGCCCTTGCGCGCGTGTCGTCGCGAGAATCCTTTGCAACCAATGGGACGAATGCGCACGCGCGCGTCGTCGCGCGCGCATGCCGGAATCCATCAAAAACTTTCGGTTTCGTAGCGATTTCAAAGAGTGTCCCAAACACACACACATAACAAACACATGGTCTCGCAACGTCAGTTTTCAAAAAAAGCGTGCGCTCGCGCTCTTGCGAATTCTTAAAAACGCCATCGGTTTTCAACATTTACATGAGATTCTGCCAAGCGGGCCTCTGGCGCCGCATGCCGAAACAATTCGCACGCCCTTGCGCGCAAGCTGGGGTGGGTGGGGGGATGGGGGGCACGATCCGTGTCAAATAACACCATGCGGGCCACTCTCGCGCGTCGGCCGCGCGCGCATGTCGAATTCTCTCCAAAGCCTCCCTCACCGACGCGAGGTTGCCGTCATCGTCGTCGGCGTGATCAGCATCAGCATCGTAATCGCCGCCGCGGATTAGCAAACCAAGTTGCGGGTGAGTGGGTGGGATGTGTACAAGAGGATGGGATGTGTCAACTCTTTTGTAAAAACCACCTGCGCCACATAGATTTCGCCATATAGCTTGCACACCATCGATCGCACAATATGCATTGCAGATCATAGCTTGCGCAACAAAGGTCGCACCACACAGCTTGCATTACACAGGTTGCACTGCATAGGTTGTACCACGTAGATTGCACCACGTTAGTATTGCCTCACATATATTGGACCACATAAACTGCTAGGAACACACTGATTGGGGCCCACGCTCGCTAACATTGGGTATCCAAACCCCAATCTTCTTCAAACGCCTTCCTATTTCAAATATCGTTAACTTGTTGGCCACTATCGTCAACGTCATCAGAATCAGCATCACCCGCATAATCATCACCACCATCAGCATCACCACAACAATCGCCATCACCAACATAATCATCATCATCATTACCAGCATCACCACCATCATCATCATCATCGTGATCATCACCATCATATCATACTAGAATTCATCACCATCATTATCACCCACCTCGTCACTAATATCATCACCAGTGCCATCACCATCACCATCATCATAAACATCATAATCATAATAACCATCGTCATCATAATCACAATAATCACCACCACCATCACCATCACCATCATCATCATCATCATCGTCGTCATCTCTACTCCATCATCATCATCATCATCATCATCAACAACATCACCACCACCATCACCTCACCTCACCACCACCATCATCATCATCATCATCAGCATCATCAACAACAACAACATCATCATCATCATCATCATCATCATCATCATCGTCAGGAGCAGCATCATCATCTGTTGCGCCCTTTGGGACCTCTGCAAGGCCGTCGATCGTAATGTGAGGCGTGGGCGTATTCATTTGCGGGGGGCCTCTCCAACGTCTGCCTGCTGGCTTTGAAATCTCACTAGCCCTTGAGGGAACCAGTCGGTGTGTCAGCGCCACGCTCGCTCAGTCGTCAGGGCGGCGGGGATCGAATCCCGAGCCTCTAGGACGTAAATCCCACCAGCCCTCTGGGCGTAGGTGGTCTAGAACAGATCCTCTTCCACCCCTCCCTCTTCCCCCTTGGGGAGGGGTTTACCCCTCCCCCTACCCCCTCCCCTGGACCTGGACGGGGGGGGCCGCGGGTAGTTAGAGCGTCCGGAAGCGAAAAGGCGAGAAAGCAAAAATCATTGATTTTCCTTAGGTTTTGGGACGATTTTGGCCTCTTCGGGGCTTCCGAGGGGGGGCGCTAATTGAACCCCCCCTCTTGTTTGATCGATCTCTTCCAAGATGGCCCCAAGAAGCGCCCAGGAAGCCCCAAGAGGTCCCAAGATGGCCCCAAAATGGCCCCAAGAGGCCCCCAAGAGGCCCCCCGGAGGCCCCCAAGAGACCCCCAAGAGGCCCCAAGAGCCCCCCCAGATGCACCCAAGATGCTCCAAGAGGCCTCGGCGAGAATGCCTAATCATTGATTCTACACAGGTTTTAGCCACATGGAGGCCTCTTGGGGGGGGGCACGGATTAAGATGACTCCAAGAGCGTCTGGGAGAGCCCAAAATGACCTCCAAGATGGCTCAAGATATCCCAAGATGTCTCATAATGGCTTCCTCTGTGTGCTGCCCACTTCTCTGATCGAGGCAATTCCTCTGGGCATCGTTTCTGGATGGGCTGATGGGCCGTCTTCGTTGCCGCGGCTGGGCGCAGGTTGACACTTTCCAGTGTTTCGGCCCGCGGTCTCGCCTCGCGGTTCCTGGGGAAGTTTGCTTAGGCGTCATCGCCTCGATGATGTGGTCCCCAGGCCCGCTCTGTCCCTCCCTCGGCCCTCGGAACAGCACAGTCCGCACCCATCTGATCAAGCTGCGTTCGCTCCGCGGCGCTCGCGGTTCCGAGGCGCGCCCCGGAGAGGAGGGTGGTCCCGAGCGCTCGCCCGGGAGCTGCCAGCCAGGCCCCCTCCTCCGGGGAGGAGAGAGCAGCATCTCGTGCTGTGGCTGAAGACGTGGGGAGCTGTGGGCGGCGAGAGGCTTGCCCAGAGATGGGGTAGGTGGGAGGAGTAGAAGAGATGGAATGGGGCCCGAGGGTGGAGCAATCCTCGCTTCCCCTCCCACTCTTCCGAACAAGTCAGCAAGATTCCACCCCATTCGGATCGCCGAAGTTTTTCGGTCGGGTATCAGAAGATCGTGCTCATACTGCCGCATGGACATGGTTGGCATGAGCAAGTCATGTGGGTGGACAACCGCTCCCCCTCCCCTCTCCTTGCCACTTGACCCTGCTCGCTGGGACAGGGGAGCGGGGTCAGTGGAGAAGTTTTTCGCTGTTTTAGAAAATCTCTGCCACAGACTTGTCCGTATCCTAAACCGTAGTGGGCCCCAGAAACGGCAAGGCCGTTTTTCACCATTTCCGAAAAAAGGGTCCCTTGAAAATGGAAACTGTAGAATTATGGCAACCGGAAGCGGCAAACAAACGGCTCCATAATTGGAACAAGAACTGGCAAAGCAATGGCGATGGAACCGGAAGAACAACGGTGCCGGAACTGGTAACAAAAATGGCAGAACGGAACCAGTAACAAAAACGGCAGTCGTTTCCAGGGCCCACTAAATCCTAAACTAACTTGAAAACTTTGCCTCACAAGTTGGACTGCCCATCGTCCAGCAGCCGCCGCGGTCCCAGCGGGAAGGTCTTCATTACGCGGGGCCCTCCAAGACCATCGTAGCTTATCCTGATGACTTCGTGCTGCGGCACGGACATCTTGATGGCCTCCTCACGAGACCTTTAAGACGAAACCAAGACGAGGATAACATCGGTTGAGGATAAGCCGGCGGCTCTGGAGGACGTCGCGGACACCACGGCCCTCTCAGAGCGTTCGGGAACGCTCTGAGAGCGTTCTGGGACACTCTGGAACGGATTGATCCTCGTCCTAGCTCCGCCCGAACCTTTTAGTCATCCACGCGATGATGAGGCGTAGCACGGCCTGATGCGACACGAGCAGAATTGGTTCTCGCACCCTCTCGAGGTCCACCATGGCTCCGGACAGCCTGGCCAAGACGTCGTAATACGACTCGCCACGGGGGTAGCGGAAGCCCAGTTTGTCGGTCGACCGGGCGGCTATGACCTCTGGTGCGATCTTCTTGATGTCCTCCTCTGTAAGACCGTCAAACTCGCCAGCGTACACCTCGTCTATACTCCTCAAAGGCTTTCCGACCATCTGTCTCCATGGCTTGCCATCTTTGCCTGCCACGACATTGCGCTCTATAAATCTGGCGGTCTCGATGGTACGCTTGAGGGACGACGTCCACAGGCGCCCTGGCACCATCCCAGGCTCCGACGCATCGCCCTGCACGAAGACCAAGGTCGGGTACAGGGAGCCGGCGACCCTCGCGACCTCCTGGACGGTGTGGGGGGCATCCTGGAAGTCCGCCCCATAACCGGCCTGCATTCGCAGCAGCCTCATGCCGGGCTCCACTACGGCACCGCTCGCGTCGCCGAAGCCGTCCCAGCTGCCCGATGCGACGAGGCCCTGTGGTGTCTCGGAGACGCGCTCATTCAGCCTGCGCAGCTCCTCCTGCGTCAGGGTTACGCAGACGATTGAGTCTGCTCGTCCGCACTGCACGTACTTCACGAACTCGGCCAGGCGGCGAGCGTACTCTTCCCCGCGCTTGGAGAGCCCAGAATCCCCACCGAGACGCTTCTCGACGTTGAATATGCTCTCTCCGTGGCGCGAGAGGTAGTGGGTGTGTGCGTAGGGATGCAGGTTGGCCAGGAAATGGCACACCTCGGAGCCGACGAACCCTTGCATCATCTTGTTGACGACCATCATTTGGTTGTAGTTGATGAGGTGTATGTACGGGGTGTCGCCTTCCGAATCCTCTTGGATGTTCTCCATGCGGTCCCGATACTCCGTCATGAGCGCCTTGCTCTGCTCCAAGGGCACCCCCCGGAACCTGCACAGGTCTGCGATGTACTGCTCCCCGAACTCATCGTCCACCGAGATCTGGATGAAACATGTCTCGGCCCCAAGCTTCTCCTTGGCACGAGGGAGAAGAGCTCCGAGGGACACGGATCCTCGACCCCCGGCCGTCCAAGGGCTCTCGGGACCAATTCCTTGTTTTGTTCCACCCCGGGCTGCCCCCTGTGACGCTCCCGCGGCCCACGGAGGGCCCTCGAGAGACCGAGCACTGTGGAGCGCCTGCGGACTCCCTTCCCCTCTGGACCCCTGCTCTTCACACCGATCTCCTGGCACGTCCTTGACATCCACCGCCTGTGCCACTTCGTGTGGGCGCTCCACATCGAGCGCGTGGACTCGACGCTGTCGCCGGCCAGGATGATCGCGAAGCCGCCATAGATCCTCCCAGATGCAGCGAAGTCGTAGATGTCGTACTGGGAATCCTCCTCTCGGGGATTGACAGACCTCCCTTTAGCAAAACGTGGTTTAGTGAAAACGACCTCGGGCCCAATCCTGGCGGGCGCAAGCCTGGAAAATAACGGCCGTGGCGCGCTCTCGATAACCGAAAACGGACAATTCACTAATCGACGTGTCACTGTTGGGGGTTCTGTCCACCTCCGATCCTCGCTCGCGTGGAAGAACTTGCAGAGGTCCTCGCAGAGTCTTGTGTCGCCGTCCGGCCCCGGGTAGTCCGTGAGGTCGAAGATCTCGGCGCGCGCCCCGTGGAAGAACTGGATGAAGCGCTTCAGGTTCCGGGCCGTGTGAGCCTCGTCCCGAAGCATATTGCAGTCAATTTACCCCCTCCCCAAGAGGTAGGTCGTCTGAGTGCGAGGCTAGACAGCCTCCCGCAGACCCCTCGAATGCTGGCCCTCCTGGAACGAGTTCGGGAGAAGGAAGAGGCAGCCTCTGTGGCTGCCCCAGCTAGATAAACAGGTAACCTTGGTCCTGCCCCCCTGAGGGGAACAAAAAAACAAAAAACGCCCCACCATAATTAACGGACGAGGGATGGTACGAAAGGAGCTTCTCCGCCACGGGGAGCGCCTGCCCTGCAGGCCTGCCGCGGCGGTGGCAGAGAGACCTCCCGCCCGCCCTGGGACCCGGGACAGGCGTCCCTCGCGGCATAAAAACTTTCTCCTGGACCATTATTCGTCCGTTGACTGTACGGGGCAGAAGGCACATTGACAACCAAACAAGCTCTCCAGAGGTCCACGAACCGTCTGAATATATATATATATATATATATATATATATATCGTAGACTGCCAACTGCCGCCTAGTCTCACGCGGAGCGCCGAGACAGCCCCACCACGCCAGCACGCCTGGAGACACCAGGATCCCGCGGCGACGAGGAGGGGGGGGCGGAGCGGGCGTTGGCCCTGAGAAGGCTAAAGACATCGCAACACAAGCATGAGAAATCATGACAGACGCAATTCATTTCCCACGGCACAAGCATGATCCTGGGGGGTCCAAGCCCCGGTTACTGAAGAAGGGAAGCTGGACGTTTCTTGACCAGCGACCTTGTGCCCACATCGGCTCGGCGAGATACAAGTGAAAGGAAAAGTAGAAAGAGGACGGAGGAGAGGAGGAGGAGGAGCCAAAAACTTGAGATGGGGCCGGCTACGATCGTGACAGCGATAAAGTGGCACACCATCAATCGTAGACTGCCAACTGCCGCCTAGTCTCACGCGGAGCGCCGAGACAGCCCCACCACGCCAGCACGCCTGGAGACACCAGGATCCCGCGGCGACGAGGAGGGGGGGGGCGGAGCGGGCGTTGGCCCTGAGAAGGCTAATGACATCGCGACACAAGCATGAAAAATCATGACAGACGCAATTCGTTTCCCACGGCACAAGCATGATCCTGGGGGGTCCAAACCCCGGTTACTGAAGAAGGGAAGCTGGACGTTTCTTGACCAGCGACCTTGTGCCCAAAATTCCAAAAACCTTCTTGGATCGGTTTACCGGAAGGCGGGTTTGGGTGGGACCTTTGAAAGACTCCAGGATCTGATTGCCGAGCCGAGGCGTAAACTGCATTGCACGAGCTAGCTGTGCTGCTGAGAGCAACTGTCTGTTGCGCAGCAACCCTGCAGGTTTGGAGTATTGTTTGACTACTTGACAAAGAGCCAACGACCACGCTGCTGGATGGCATGTCATGCGATGGGCCAGCCTGACGCCGCAAGTGAGGGGACAGAGGGAGCGAGGGCGAGAAATGCTGCGCTCGACGCTTCCTGCACATCTCATCCCCCTTTCCAAGCGACACCTGAACAAACGGCCCTGTGGGCATGCGGCAGAGGGCCCTCAGAAGCTCACTCACCCAGTTCCTGTTGTGGGCCCCCGCGACGGTGGAGGCGTCGAACCCTTGGTTCTTGGCGGGGAGCGCCCCCGTCGCGGGGGCCAGAGCGGCGATGGTGTCGTGGCAGCCAGGCCAGGGCAGCGTGACATCCGCGGCCGTCAGCGCCAGCACATCGCTCGGCCTGAGGTCGCAGTCGAAGGCCACCCAGGACGCCGCCGCCGCCTCGCGCCCCTCGGAGCCCCAGCGGTTCTTGTCGTAGAACCAGTCGGCGGAGGCGAGCGTGAGGGAGTCGTCGCCGGGCGAGTCTCGTGGAAGTTCTGGTGCCGCCCGCAGACACTTCGCCAAGGCAGCCTTTGCCAAGGGGAAGGTCGTGGTGGCGCGTGGCTGCGGGCCCAGGGCGTAGGCCGACCCGTAGATGGCGTAGCGGCCGTACGACGGGTAGTCGCCATTCAGGGAGAGGCCGTCCAGGTACTCGTCGAGCACCACGTCCCAGTCGCTGGGCGTCGCTGGACCGAGCCCTTGGCGCGCGGCCCGCTCGGCCAACGCGGCGTGGGCCGCGGTGTAGGCGCGGGCCGTCTGGGGCCGCGTCGACGCGGGCCGACCCACTCCGCCGCTGGCGGCATGCGCCTCAGCGCGGCGGGCGGCGGGGCGCCGCCGCTCGCGCTGCCGCGCGGCGAGCCTGGCGGTGGACAGCAGCATCGGCGGCCTCGGCGCGCCAGGGCTTCCCGTCCCAGAAGCCCACGGCCACCTCCCACCCGAGTGGGCACCGCCGGGGGATCGGCGGGAGCACCACTGGTCGGGCGGCACGGCCATCCTGCCCGACCGCGGCCGCCATGCGTCGCTCCCAGCCGACGTCAACGCGCGGCTCGCACGGCCGGCGGAGGGAGCTCCGCGGAGCGGCATCCCGCAGCAGCGCTGCCACAGCACGCACCAGCTCAGAAGGGTAGGCCGCCGCGAAGGCGGTCCTCCACGCGGCCGGCTGCCCCGCGAGCTGCACCTTGCCCTGCAGGCGCGCGTGGGGCGCCGAGGGGCACGGGCAGCTGCGGTCCAGGAGGTGGCTGTTGGGCAGGGTGGAGTAGATGACGGTTGGCTTCTTGCAGGGTGCGCCCAAGGCGCACATGTCAAAGAGGCATCGGCGCGCCGCCAAGCGACGGAGCAGCCTCGCCACTCGCGGGACCTCGAAGATCCTTGAGCGGGCAGGGTTCTCGAGAAGCACGTGGATGTCATTCTTGAGGCAGAGCTGCAGCACACGGACGGTGAAGAGCACGCAGCGCCATGAACTTGGTGTAGTCGTTCCAGTCGATCTCGCCGGGGTCCAAGCCGTGCACGGTGCGCCCAGTAGCACGCACCAGACCAGGCCTTTCGACAGCCAGCTGAGGACCTCGCTTGCCACGCGACGGTCCAGCACATCATGATGCGGGCCGTGGGCCACGTCGATGGGCGTGGCCACCCGAAGCCCGGCCTCTGACACGGCGGCCGTCGCTCGGCTGCAGCCCGAGAAGATCTCCAGGAAGGCGGGGCGCCCGCTGGTAAGGCCGTCGGCCAGCCGCGGCGCCCTGCAACCGGCCGCCAAGGCGGCCGCCGCCCGCCGTCGCTGGCGTCGGGTGGACCGCGGCGCCGTCGGGAGCTCCGACTCCGAGGCGGAGGCCCGAGGCGACTCATCCCCGCTCGAGGGCTCTCGAGGGGCGCTCCACCCGTCGTCCTCTGGCGGGGCAGCGGGCGCCGGCGACCATGCCGGGCCCGCGGCAGCGGCCAAGGGCAGCGCCCGCAGCCCGCGGCCAGCAAGCCGCTGTCCAGGTCGAAGCCAGCCATGGTGAGCAAGCCTGGAGTCGCCGTCGGAAGGGTTCCGGGCGGTCTCCACGTATCGTCGATGCCAAATGATGCCGGCGGCCAGCTGGCACGCCGCCGCCCGGCGCGCAAGCCCGAGCAGCTCTCGATCTCGGGCCCGCCCGCGATCAAAGGCCAACGTCTCTGCGAGGTTGTCCCCGAAGGAGACCAGGTGCATGCCGTGCGAGTCGCAGCACTCTGACTCCCTGGTGAGCCCCAGCAGCGCCGCCCGAGCCTCCTTGCAGTGGATGGCGGCCGCCCGCTTCCAGCGCCCCACGACGCGGCGGTGCCGGCGCCTGGGGTCAGCAAAGGCATCAGGCACGCGCGGCGCGAGCCCGACCCGCTCCACCTGCGGCCGCTCCGCGGGGTGCTGCCGCGGGTCGCCCTGCCTGAGGATGACGCGCTCGTCGGGTGAAGGCTCGAGCTCGCCGTCGACCCAGGCCGAGAAGTCGCCGGCCGGCCCAGCACTGCCCGCCAGGCCGCCCCGCAGCTCCTCCCCGGAGGCGATGGCGGTCGGGTCTTCGTCGATGAACCGCCATCGCTCACGCCAGACAGCGACGTCCTAAAGCTGGTGCTGGCCCGCGGCGGAGACGTGCAGCGCGTAGCCCTCCGTCGAGGCGTCGCTGCAGTAGGCGCGGTCGAGCATCGGAGCTGCCGGGTCGAGGTGCACGAAGTGGACGAGGTCCCTGGCGATTCGCAGCTCGACAACCACATCGGCGGGCAAGGGCAGAATCTCGGCGCCGCCAGTGCCCACGAAGCGGTAGGCCGCCCCCAAGACGCTGAGGGCACACCGCCGCAGGCTGAAGTGATGCACCAGATGGCCCAAGAGGCCGCGGACGTGGTTGGGCGAGAGCGCCCCTCGGTGGATGGCCTCCCCCAGGGCGTGCCAGAGACGCCAGCTGCGCCGGCGGCTGTGCCTGACCCAGCGCCGCTGGCCGTCGAAGACCAAGCCCACCGCCTCGAAGGACTGCGTGGCGCCCACCCGCTCGTGGACCTGCAGGCCCATGCTGACCAGCTCCTCCACCACCGCGACGTGCAACCGCTCGACCGAGTCCTTGTCGCACCCGAGGATGTTGGCGTTGTCCACATGGGGCGCGCAGACCGCCACTCCAGGCCGAAGAGGCGGGGGGGGCTGTCGGTCCCCGACGATGACTGGCCCCAGCCCCAGGCGCAGCTGGGCCCGGCGACAAGCCTCGGACACGGCGCTGTGGCAGAAGTAGAGCGCCCAGCTCCAGCCCATCGGCAGGCCGCCGAAGCAGACCTCGAGCTCCTCCGTCGAGTCGACGGGGGTGTAGCCGTTGACCTCAGGATCGTAGACCTCAGAGACGCCAGCTTCGCCAGCGCGGCGAGACACACCAAGCCCGAAGAAATGCGAGACCGTAGGCGCCAGGAAATGGTAGAATCCGTCCTGCAGGTCGATCGACGCCCCCCAAAGCTCGGCCTCATGAGTCGGGTTCGCATCGACGAAGTAAGGATCGAGGACCAGGCTCGACATGGCCGCGGTCGTGGCGAGGCGGGTGTAGGGGGCTTTGATATACAGCTGGTTGGTCGGCCGACAGTCCAGCACCATCCGCAGCGTACCCGTCTTCTTCGCCGCGAAGAAGATGCCCACGCGTGACACCACGCGGCGGCGGTACGTGATGAGGCCGACGGAGTCGAGCTTCGAGATGAGGTCGTCCAAGAGGGAAGGCGACCTCCGCAGTCGCTCGTCCCAGTGGGGCCGCGCAGGGGGCGGCCCCTCAGCCTCCGCCGGCAGCGCAATGCGCCGCGGGTCGTCCAAGTACACCCGAGCGGCATCGCCAACGAGCCCCGCGGCGTCCTGAGGTCGGATGTTGCCCTTCGTGGCGGCGAGGAGCTCAGGCTGATAAGGAGCAACGGCCATGGCAATGTCACTCTCGTACAAGTCTTTCGTCTTAAGAATCTCAGAAAGGGCCCCGTCTGGGCACAACTCAGATTGTCGAGGCTGCGGAGCGGCGGCTTCTGCGGCGGTCGCGAGCCTCCTCCGCGCCTGCCGCTGCGGCTCCGAGAGCGGCCGACGCGGAGTCGCGTGGGAGAGCGGCCCTGGCGAGGGCACGCCCTTGGCCCGAGCTCCCGCCAAGGCGTTGAGCGCCGATGCCGCCGAAACCTGCAACCGACGAAGCCCAGGATCAGGGAGCAGAAGACCATCGGCGCCAGACGACGCCGCACTAGATGAATTGGCATGTTCTGGCAGATCCAGAGGGAAAAGAGAACGAGGCCGAGGTGCCGCCATCCCAGTCGAGCCAGGCTGCAGCACAGGTGGTCGTGGGAAAGCCCACGTGTCACGACTTCGACCCGTCCTTCATGCGCCTGTCCGTCTCCTCTGCGAACAGCCGCCGTTGCTTGGGTGTGAAGGCCTCCGTCTCTTGCTCCTCCGCGATGAACTTGGCGAAGTCGCCTGTGGCCGCCGCCGTGCCCGAGTCGAAGGTCGATGCGATCATCATCTCGAGGCCTCGGAAGTCGGGCCTCTTTCGCGAGCGCGGAAAAGCCCGCTCGGTGTGCCTCACCCTCCGCGCCAGCATCTCCATGCCCTCCAGGCGGTAGATATCCAGCTGTTCGAAACCCAGCGCGTGGTGGAATATGCTGAGGAGGGAGGCGCGGCGATGGGCGATGCCCGTGTCGGGGCCGACCCCCGAGGCTCGGACCCAGTAGTCGTAGTGGGTGCCAGTCGTCTCGCTCGTCGCGCGGATCATCGTCATGAGCTCGAACCCCGTGCTCAGGCCCCTGGAAGGCGAGTCGCCCTCGGAGGAGCCTTTCCCGACGGCCCCCGCAGCCGGCGGCACCCGCCTCTGCGGCGCCGCCATCGCGTCGCGGAGCCCGATGCACCAGTGATCCTGCCCGCCCCTGACGATCGGCATCGCGCGCGGGTCCCGACCCGCGCCCGACTTGTTCTCCTCCTTCCAGTCCTTGAGGTCCGTGGGCGCGACCCGCCCCAAGGCCGTCCAGGGGTCGTCGATGAGCCCCAGGACAGTCGACCCACGCTGCACGAAGCGAGCTGGGTGCCCCGACTCGGCAGCATCGATCGGCTCCCCCGACGGGTCCGCGCCCGTGTCCGAGACCACCCAGGCCGCGATACCTGGCACTGGAGGGGCAGCAACACCCCCAATGAGCACCGCCACCGCCTCGTCCTGCTGCTCGAGGGCCTGCAGCTGCTCCGAATCAGGGCGACCCCCTTCGTGCCGTCGCCCACCCTGCCGAGGACCAGGCGGTGGTGCCCCATGAAATGGTCGTCGTCCGGGAAGTCGATGGCCACCTGCGGGCTGGCGGTGCCCGGGGCGAAACCCCCGGGGCGGGCCGCCATCACTCGCGGCTCTCTCGAGACCGCCAGACCTCACTCTCGTCGGGCGTCCGAAGTCCTGACCCACTCCTTGGACTCGGGGGCCCACCAACGCCCAGAGCAGGCAGCCTGCGCACAGGATGGGCGCCCGCCACAGCCGGCGCCGCCCCGAGGGCGTCTCGGCCGATGGGCGGGACGCCAAGGCTCGCCCTGCCCTCCGCCGCGGCTGCGAAGCGGACGTTGCCCCACCAGGAGCACGCGCGGGCCGCCCACAGGAGCAGCGCCGCGCCCGCAAGGGGCAGGAGCCCGACCAGCCAGCCCCCAGCGGCGCGGGGCGACCCGAGAGGCCACCGAGGAGGGAGCCCGCAAACCCAGCAAGTGCGGTGAAAGCTGGGTGGGCGGAGCGATCACACCTGGCTCATCCCTGAGCCAAAAACTTGAGATGGGGCCGGCTACGATCGTGACAACGATAAAGTGGCACACCATCAATATATGTATGTGTATACAGATATGCGTGTGTGCTTGTACTGTTTTGCTGTGTTCTGGACCTGGCGTGCTGTTGCTGGCCTCTGGCGGCTCTGCTTGGTGGCCGCCGCCCTCCCGCGGGGGGCAGGCGGGCCGCGGGCCTTGCCGCGCATGGGCAGGCCGAACAGGGGCGCCACGATCTTCTGCTGCCTCCGCGGGGGGCCCCGGCGGGCGGGGCTCTCCGACGCTGCCCCCGGACGCGGGCGCCCCCGCGCAGACTGCGGCCGTGGGTCGAGGCGTGCTCCCCTATCGGGAGCCCACGAAGGACGTACGCGCCCAACGATGTACACGAACACGGCCCCTCGAGCCGCGAGACCGTGCTCTCGAAACCAGCGTGGATTCGTGCACGCGTACGTCCCTCTTTCGCTCCCGACCCTCCCCCTTCCCTCCAGCTGGGATCCTCAGAGTGCGGCGGCGCGCCGAAGAGGGGGGGGGGGGAGGAGAGAGCGAGGGCGGGGGGGGGGGGCAGGCCTCCTCAGAGGCCCGCGGGCCTCTGCAGCGGGGGGGGCGGGCCAGCCCCCGTGGGGCGTCGGACAGGAGGCTCCGAGCGCCCCGGGCACGCCAGCAAAAAGGCCTCCTCGGAGGCGCCCGCGGGCCTCCGCAGAGGGGGGCTCCTCCTCCTCCTCCTCCACCTCCTCCTCCTCCTCCTCCTCCTCCACCTCCCCTCCTCCTCCTCCTCCCCTCCTCCTCCTCCTCTCCCTCCCCCTCCTCCTCCTCCTTCTCCTCCTCTCCCTCCCTCCCTCCCTCCCGTGGGGCGTCGGACAGGAGGCTCCGAGCGCTCCAGGAACGCCAGAAAAATGCCTGCTGGGCATTCCGAGCGGGCCCGCCCCCGCTGCCTTCCCTTTTTCTGGGCGCGCCGCAGAACTCCGCCCTCCGCAGCCGCACCCGTCGGTCAAGAGAAGCAGGGTGGAGACATGGAGTAGGCAGGCGGTGGACGCAGGTTGGACCTCCACGCCCGCCCTGAAGACGGGAGGCACGGAAGAGGCGCTGGATCCTGGAAACAGGGAGGCACCCAACATAGACTGGAACCGGAGAATCCAGAAATCTGCCGACACCTGGGTGTGTGGAAGACGCTGTCGTCGTCGTCGTCGTCGTCGTCGTCGTCGTCGTCGTCGTCGTCGTCGTCGTCGTCGTCAGTTTCAAGGAATTGAGGACCAAGGGTAAGGAACGTCGTGTCGTAGTTGAGTCGATCCCTTCCCTTTCTTATCCCTTCCCTGCTGGAAAGGGGGGGGAACCTGGAGGAGGAGGACGAGGAGGAGGAGGGGGAGGAGGAGGAGGAGGAGGAGGAGGAGGATGAGGAGATGGAGGAGGAGGGGGAGGAGGACGAGGAGGAGGAGGAGGAGGAGTTGGGGAGGAGGAGGGACCTGGGGAGGGCCCCAGGCCAGAGCACCGCTCCCCTCCCCTGGGGTCCTGGCGGGTCAGCGGGGGGTGCAAAGGGGAGGTCATGCCTTCAGGGTCGGCGGCACCAGCCGCAGAGCCTTCGCGATCATCCCAGAATGCATACTTTCAGCTTGGAGGCAGCCAGGGGTATGAACTCGTTAGGACCCCAGAAAACTGGTCAGAAGGGGGCGTCGATGAAGCCAAATCCGCTCAGAATCAATCCGCAGACCCCTCCGGGGGTCCATCTGGTGCAGTTTTTCTCCCCAGATCCGTTTTTAAGGGTCCATGGGCTTGAAAAAAAGGCAAACAATCTGTTCGAACACAGACCCTCCAACCTGCCCCCCCCTCCTGATGGCCCGAATTAGTGCTGGGCCACCTCAGACCCCCAACCAGCTCCACCTTTCGTCGTCGTCGTCGACGACGCCGCCGCCGCCGTCGTCGTCGTCGTCGTCGTCGTCGTCGTCGACGTCGTCATCGTCGTCGTCGTCGTCGCCGCCGGCGCCGGCGCCGGCGCCGTCGCCGTCGTCGTCGTCGTCGTCGTCGTCGTCGTCGTCGTCGTAGTCGTCGTCGGCCGCCATTGGGGGTCGGTGGCTCCGGCCGTAAGCCTTCGCAACAATCACGACATGCATACTTTCAACGACCGATGGTTGTAATTCTCAAATCGGCGGCGAACCTTGGGGGGAAGTGAGAAGGGGCTGGCCTTCTCAGAAGGTCCGGAAGTCCCTCGGCCTTCTGAGAAGTTTTCTAAGCCTTCCCCGAAGACACAGAAAACCTCTTTGAAGGTCCGAGGCCTTCTGAGATTCCCCGCCGCCTTCTGAGAAGGCCTTCTCCTTCTCATTTCCCCCCTCGCTCGCCGCCGATGTCAATGACCGATGGTTGTTACTCTCAATGTCCTAGTTTGCAGCGTCCTGTTTTCACGGGCCCCCCCGGTGCCACTGCTGCTGCGTGAGGCCGGGCATTGGCGGCGGTACTGTCACAGGGCTGGGGTTGTGCTCGGAGGGCCGCAGGATCTTCTCCAGGTCCTTTGGGTACAGCCTCGGGGGGGCGACGACGCGACCAGGCCTCGAACGCCTGTGGATACAACGTGAGGACTACGGTGAAGACAATTGGCAGAAGCCTCCCAGGTGGGCTCCGAGTAGGTGGGTTCGGAGAATCGCGCCGCATCGCCGATACATCGGCGATACATCGCTGATGCATGTGCGATGCATCGGCGACGTCGGCGATGTATCGGCGAAGTCAGCATGGAGAAAATTTGGCTCCACATCGAGCCGCATCGCCGATGCATTGTCGATGCGGCGCGATCCTCCGACCCCATCTACTCGGACCCCTCTGGGAGGCCTAGAGATGAGGAGCGATTTGACAAGGAATCCAGGTTCCGAGAGCCCAGAGCAGAAACGACTATAGGCTTGGCCATGGACATCGCCGCCGCCCTCATCAGACAAGGAATCCTCTAAAGGGTCTGAAGCCTGCTGGGCACATCCCTTCACGAGCGCCCCCCGCCGCATACGTTCGGCTGGCCTGCGAGACACCGCCTGGGCGTAAAGGCCGCATGGCAAAAGGCTGTCCTCCAGGAGGGGGTGGAGAAGTCCGGGCACCGCTCGCGCAGCAGATCACCGCCTCGGAAATGCGGGTAATTACCTGCTGCGGATCCAGGGCAGGCCACTCCGGGGTGCCAGCTTGTCCTGGCCGGGATCGATGCGTGTTGATGCCCGGCGTGACCTGGAGCTCTCACCTGGCTGTGAGCAAACTCATGGCTGGAGCTTTCGACCTCATCCCTGCGCGGAACTTCTTGAGCCAGACCGCTCAGTGGGGGCCCTGGCGCACCAAGACGGCCCACGAGACCTCCCAAAGACGGCCCGAAGGCGCCCCAAGAGGGGCCCGAGAATGCCCAGTGAGGCCCCCAAGACGGTCTCAGAAGGCGCCAGACGAGCAAAGGGAGCTCTGAGACGGCTCAAGAGGCCTCCGCTGGAGCCCTTTCTCTTCCTCCCAGGGCGGCTCGAGGCGTCCAAGACCACGCTGGCCTCTGGCTGGCTTCTGGGCCACAGCTCGAGGCCCCCCGGAGGCCGCCCCCAAACGGTTCCTGTAGCTATCCCCACCCCCCCGAAAGCTTCGATGTGGACGGGCCGGCGCCTTTTTTTTTTTTTTTTTTCTCCGGGGACGCCTGCCCTGCATGCGTCCCAGCCGGGGCCTCGCGGCAGACCCTGCTGCGGCGACGGGGGCCCTCCCCCGGAGGCCCAAACGAGGCCCACATCGGCAGCGCCGGGAAAACAGCTGATGTAGCAACCGCCGAGGCCCCCGGCGAAGCAGCCGAAAAGGTAATATCGTCGAGGCAGTCCACGATACAGCGAGCTAGATCATGCCGCCCCGTTCCACTGCGTGCTCCACGCTGTTTGACAGCCCCTCCGCCGACCGCCAGCCCGCCCGGCGGCGGCCCAGTCTTTGGGCGCTGCTTCGTGGGAAGGGGGGGGGGGGCGACAGACGGGGGGCGAAGGATCGTGCACCCTCCTTCAAAATTCCTTTTCCCTGAAAATAATTTCGCCCCGTCGCACCCCGATGCTTGTTTTGGAGCGGGCCGGCGTTTCGCCCGAGACTTCCCCAACATTGTAATCTCTGAGGCATCAAAATTTGGCAACTGTTTCACACATGGAGGGCGGGTGGTTTTCAAAATGTGGCTCTCGCCTGAGCGGCGAGCACATTCGCTTTAAACATTTGCAAAAGTTTCACGGATTGAGGGCGAGTGGCTTTCAACATGTGGCTTTCGTCTTAGCGCGCGCGCCTTAGCTTTTAACATTTGCAAGAGTTTCAAGGATTGAGGGCGATTCCTTTTCAACATGTGGCTCTCGCCTTATCGCCGCGCAAATTCATTTACAACATTCTCAAGAGTTTCACGGGTTCCCATCATCAACGTACCAGATATGGCGTTTTGAAAGGATTTAGGATTATGCGGGTGCAACAGCTACGTTGGTTCTCTGTGTTGAAGTCCGAGGAATGGCGTTCTGGCACGATTCAGGATCGTCAAGGCGCAACGGTCAGGTTGATCCGTGGCGTTGAAATCCCGAGAACAATGTTTTGGCATGCTTCAGGGTCTTCAAACGGATTTCTTCCAACGAGGCAGTTCCCTCAGTGGAAATGAACCGTTGTAGGGGCCCATGAAGAGGGAGCTTGGAGAGAGGGTTTACACTAACATCGCTGATGACTCTTGGGTTTCAACTGGTCCTCCTCCTCCTCCTCCTCTTCCTCCTCCCCCTCCCCCTCCCCATCCCTCCTTCCTTCTTCCTCCTTCCTCCTTCCTCCTTCTCCTTCTACTCATCTTCCTCCTCCTCCTCCTCCTTCCTCTTCCTCCTCCTCCTCCTCCACCTCCTCCTCCTTCTCATCCTCCTCCGCATCCTCTTCCTCCTCCTCCTCCTCCTCCTCCTCCTGCGTGCACGCTTCGTGTCCATTTTGGGCCGAGGGGGCCCCTTTAGGGCACAACAGGTGCATCTTCCCTCGTCCCCTCCAAGCCCTCCCCTTTTATGGATTTTTAGGGGAGGTCCGGAGGAAACACCTCTCCACCCCCTCCCAAAACCTTCCCTGAGGGGGGGGGGGGGGAAGCGTTTTGGAGGACACCCCCCTTACAACCCCCTCTCGCAGGGGGGGTCGGGTTTCAAGTCTCTTTGATTCAACGGGGGGGGAAGTGGGGAGCTGCCACCCCCCATGTACCTCTCCTCCCCCCCCTCATATGTATCGCACCCCCATGGCGCGACTCACCCCAGGTCCGGCCTCCGCCACGCGAGCCGGGTCCCCCCCCTCCTCCGCGCGACTCCAAGTACTCTCCGCGCCTCGCGCGGGGCAGCCCCACCCCGGAGGCCTCACAGAGGGACGCACGCGCCCAGCCACGTGCACGAGCGTGCACCCCCCCCCCCCGTGGTCGCGGGGCCGCCCTCACGTCGCGGCGGCCCTCGCCACGCGATGCCGCGACACCCGTGTGGATTCCTGTGCGCGTGCGCGCCTTCGTGTCGCTCCTGACCCATGCCTCCCCCCCTGCGCGATGCGCCCCCCTCGCCCCGCTGGGTGCGTGGGGGGGGGGGGGGTTGGTGGTGTGGGGGGAAGGATCCGCTGCGAGCGAGGGGGGGGAGATGAGAAGGAGGAGGCCTTCTCAGAAGGCTGCGGGCCCTCTCAGAAGCCCCCGCGCCTCCTGAGAATGCTCGGCCCGTGCCTACCCAGACGTGCGACGCCCTGATTTTTTCAGGACGGCGCCCCTGGAAGTTCCGACCCTTTCCCCGGGACCGGTTTTTCGTCCTGGGTCGTGTTTTGACCGTCTGGAGGCCTGGCGAGGCCCCCCAAGGGCCGAAAATAATGAAAAAGTGTGCCGTGCTGATTTTTTAACGACGCGATCATGTCTGGGTATGAAGCCGGCCAGGGTATAGGCCTTGCCGACCCGAGGCTGCTGCCGACGGGCCCCCGGCCTCTGGGCACCGCCGGGGGCAGGAGGGCCAAGACGCCCCCTGCGGCAGACGGCCCTCGGCAGCTTTTCCCGCGGCTCGCGAGGGGGGGCCGCGGGGAGGGGCCGCGAGAAGCTACCGAGGTCGTGGGGGCCCGGGCTCCCTCGCCGGGCGTTTGAAACATCATGATATATATATATATATACATATATATATATGTATATGTATATATATGTATATATATATGTATACACATACAATCATACATGCATACGTACGTACATACATGCATATTCACACCATATATATATATATATAAATATATATAGTTATACATACATATCGATTTATATATATTTTTAAATATAGGTATATGCATACGTAGGTGTGTCTATATATACAACATCATACGCATATAAGGATTTATTTGTACGTGTATATGTTAATGTAGAGCCTATCGTATGATACAAATAATTATGTATGTGTGTATTCCTCTTCTTGTGTTTTTGCAAGCCGGAGGGGTGGGACCCCCCCCTCCTCCCACCCAAACTGGACCCCCAAGATCGCGGGTCTCTGGGCCCCCTGGTGGGCGTCCTTGCCGAAAAGTCACCTGGCTCGTCCTGGACCTCCCAGGGCGCTGAGCCGGGCCCTATCAGCAGGCCCCAAGCGATCAGGGCGGTGATCAGAGAGGCCGAAGAAAGCCCCAAGACAGCACAAGAGCGCTCCAAGAAGGACCCAGAGGGTCTCCAGAGGCAGGCCTCATTTCCTTCGGGAAATGTACCTTTTCAGCACATTCGCTGTTCGGGTCTTAGCAACGTCCAGAAAAGCCAAGAAGGCCTCCGGTTTCGCCCCAAGACGGCCCAAGAGACTCCCAAGGAAGCCTATAGACGGCCTGGGTGGCCCCAAGACTGCCCAACGAAACCCCAACGGAGACAAAAAGAGGCCCAACAGGCCCTCACAAGGCCCCAAGGCGATCAGAGCGGTGATCAGAGAGGCCGAAGAAAGACCCAAGACAGCACAAGAGCGCTCCAAGAAGGACCCAGAGGGCCTCCAGAGCCCCCAAGACGGCCCAGGAGGCCCTCAATTGGGCTCTCAGAACGCAGACGTCGCCTCATTCCCTTCGGGAAACGTACCTTTTCAGCACATTCGCTGTTCGGGTCTTAGCAGACAACCAAGAAGGCCCCCAGTATCGTTCCAAGACGGCCCGAGAGATCCCCAAGAGAGCCTCTAAACTGCCTGGACGGCCCCAAGACTGCCCGAGGAAACCCTCAATGAGCCAAAAAGAGCCCCAACAGGCCCTCACATGGCCCCCAAGAGAAGCCCAAGGAGGCCATGGGAGGCCCCCCCAAAGGCCGTGGGAGGCCAAGAGGAGGACCTACGTAGCCCCCGTAAGGTCCCTGGAGGGCCCAAGCTCCTCAACACGGCCCAAGATGGCCCCAAGACGGCTTGAGACGGCCCAAACGCTGGCGGGCCCACCAGGGCTCCAACACGGCCCACACCCAACTGACCCGAATCCCGGGCTCGCAACCACAACTCCCAGAAATCTGTTGCGAACCCGGGATGGGGTGCATTCCCTAAGAATTCGTTGCGTTCGCGTGCCCCGTTGCGACCCGCTGCAACCCGCTGCAACATTCTTCGCCGTCCCCCCGACGGCGCCCTCCTCCTCCTCCTCCTCCTCCTCCTCCTCCTCCTCCTCCTCCTCCTCCTCCTCCTTCTGCCGCTCCACCACTCGTCCTCCCCCACATCCGCTTCCTTTCCTCGCTCTCCGAGATTCCCTCCCTCCTATCCTTCGCCCTCCACCCAGCGCCTTTCGGGAGCCCCCAGAGGCCTGGGAAGGGCCAGGGACCGCTCGAACTTTCGAAGACTTCTGAAAACCACCGCAGGGAGGGGCCAAATTTTCAAGGTCACTAGGGATGGCGCGAACGACCAACATATGCAAAGCCTCAAGGACCAAGGTGCATGGTGCGAAGCGCCAATGCAGTCTGGTGTGTATCTGTGTATATATATATATGTATATGTATGGTCGCCCCCCTGTGACCATACACCCGCCTCCTCCTCCTCCTCCTCCTCCTCCTCCTCCTCTGCCTCTTCTTCCTCCTCATCCTCCTTCTCCTCCTCCTTCCTCCTCCTCCTATGGTCGCGCCGCCTCCTCCTCTCCCTCCTCCTCCTCCTCCTCCTCCTCCTCCTCCTCCTCCTCCTCCTCCTGCTCCTCTCCCTCTCTCTTCCTCTCTCTTTCTCTTTCTTTCTCTCTTTCTGTCGATTTCCCATTCTCGGGACACTTGCCGTTGCAAAATGCAGTGTTTTCCAAATTTTCCAGATCTCCCCAGAAACTACCCTGGTGAAAAACCATGTGTTTCCCCGGTGTTCTCCAGATTTTCCAAATGTTCCACCATGGTGGAGCCAGATTTCGGATGTTTTCCTGGTGTTACCATGTATTTTCCTGATGAATCGAGAGCTTCATTTTCAAACGAGCCGCCTTCCAACCGCTCAACTGCTCCAAGCTTGCAATTTCGACAAATGTGCGCGGCGCGAAAACGAGAACCAACTTCTGAAAACGTGCCACGCTCCATCCGTGTTATGCTGTTGCAGGCAAAGCTCTAAGCTTCGGAATCGCAAAGCACGGAAATCGCAAGCGAAATGCTGGTACGTCTGGTGGTGTGACGGGGAGGAGTTACTTACTAGGAACAGGGGCGCATGAAGGAGGAGAAGGGAGGAGGAGGAGGAGGAGGAGGAGGGAAGCAACGGGACGAAAAGAGGGATGGGAATACAGGCGTGTAATCATACCGCACTCCGTGGACCTTCCCCAGGGTTCGATCTGACCCGGATTTATAGTCGAATCCTTTTGCGGCGACGGGGGAAGGGTAGCGGTATCAGCACCTGTTCTGAAGGGAAGAAAAAAACAGATTTTGCGAATCATCCTGTGTTGGGTCCCCATTTTGACAAGACAACGCTTCGTGTCCCACCTCCTCCTCCTCCTCCGCCTCCTCCCGCTGTCCCTCCTCCCTCCTAGCATTCCTGTCTCTGCTCTGCGCGTGTCAATTTCGGCGCGCCTCAGACGTTCTGTGGCGCCAAGAGGAGCTCCACCGAATGCCCCAGCGGCTGCGGTCGCATGCAACTCCGCCCGCCATCTCGGCACACCCCTTTTCACGTTTACCGCAGGCCTCCGTGGCTGCGTTCGCATGCAGTTCCACACCCCATCTCGACGCACCCGTCAAACGTTTCGTGGCCCAATAGGGAGCTCCACCGGAAGCCCCACTGGCTGCGTCCGAACGCGGTTTCGCCCCTCATTTGAGCACACTCTTCACACGCTTCGTGGCCCCATAGACAGCTCCACCTAAGGCCCCAGTGGCTGCGTTCGCATGCGCTTTCGCCTTCCATTTTCGGCACATCCCTCACACGTTTCGTGGCCCCATAGAGAACTCCACCCAAGGCCCCGCTGGCTGCGTTCACGTGCGGTTCCGCCCCCCCATCTCGACGCATCCCTCAAACGTTTCGTGGCTCCACGGGGAGCTCCCCCGAGGGTCCCAGAGGCTGTGTTCGCATGTAGTTCCGCATCAAATTTCGGACACTCCTCACACGTGTCGTGGCCCATGCGGAGCTCCAGCGTTGCCTCAGTGGCAGGGTTCGCATGTGGTTCCCCGCCAATGTCGGCACGCTTCTCACCTGCTTCGTGGCCCCAAGCCGTGCTCCAACGAAGGCAGTGCCACGCCGCGGCGCTCTCAACTGCATTTGGTTGGGCACTTCGTCGCAATAGTTTAGAGTGCGGCAGGCTTGCGCGGAGAGCACGCGCAAGCTTCGAGCACATGGCTCGCAGGCGTCCGCCTGCCTGATACCCAGCAGCGTAGGTGTGCGCATGCCGATTTCTGGGGCCATGTGGGCCCAGATCGGTAGGTCCAGCGGCAGGAGCGTGGGGGAAGGGCACTGTGATCCGACGTTGCAGAACATTCCAACATCCTCAAACATCACGACCGATGCCGCCAAGGACGCGCGCGCGCCGCGCACACGACGTCGAAGGCGCGCGGCCAACACGTTGGAACACGGCGGGGCTGTCGAGAGCAGCCACCGCCGCGAAAAGCAAGAGAAATGGCAACCATGCAGAGGCCAATATCTGCAGATGAAACAAAAAGCCACATGATATTCTGGAAACAACAAACTGAAACAGAGTCCACAGTGAGCCTGCCGATGGCTTCGTAGCGATGGCTTCCTGCATCATTTTTCAAGCCGGATCGGCCTGCGAGAGTCCCGGGGCCCAGAACGTGGGCGCGAGAACGTGGCGAGCAAGCTGCGACGCCAGGATCCGAGGGAGGGGAAGCAGGAGGCCGGGAACGAGGGAGCCCCCCCTTCGAAGCCCTTCCCCCCCAGACCCCCGACGTCATGATTTTGTCATGACGTCGACCCCCAGCGCGGTCTGGACACATTCCCCGGGACCGGTTTTTCGTCCTGGGTCGTTTTTTGACGGTCCCGAGGGCCGGCAAGGGCCCCCAGAGTCCAAGAATGATGCATCACCTCCCGTACATGGACAATATATTCGAACCCTTACACATTTGAGGGAGATTCTAAACCACCCCCGCGCCCCCGACATCAATGTTGATCTCAGTAAAGGCGGTGCTTGGGGGTACGAATATTTCTGTCCACTCACGCCCCCCCCGTCGCCACGCCATCAATATTCATTTCGGGGGTCTGGGGGGCATCTTGGGCCACAGGGTTCGAATATAATGTCCATGGACTCTCCCGCCGCCGACTCTTTCCTAACTCGGGGGGGGCCTGGGCCGACCCTTTCCCCAGGACCAGCTTTTCGATCTGAGTCGTTTTCTGACGGTCCCGAGGCTCGGCGAGGGCCCCCAAGGGCCGAAAGTTGGCGGAAAACTTGCCGCCCTGATTTTTTTACGACTCGATCATGTCTGGGTTCCTAACTCGGCGGGGGCCTGGGCCCCGACAGCCTGACGTCCGCGTCGGCCGAGGGCGCCGACGGCGCCGAGTCGCAGGCCGCGTGCGGCCCCTGCAGGCCCAGCGCCAGGCCCGCCGCCACCGCCCCGGCCGCCGCGCCCGGCGCCCAGGGCTCGGCGCGGGCCCGGGCGCCCGCGCGGCGGTGGGGCCCTGCCGTGGGCCGCACTGTGCTTCGACTTTGCTCCGACGGGCTTGCCAGACTGACTACCTACCAGACCACCCCAACCCAACCCGAAGACCCGATTTTCGGGTTGGGGGGGGGTAAGGGTTCCACGCGTGTTTTTTCGAGGTTTCCCGACCCCCCCCCAACTAGAAATCGAGGGTAAATGTGAACCTCCGGGTTGGGTTGGGGTGGTTTGGTGGGTAGTGACAGACAGGATCCAGTCGCCAACCATTCAATACCCCAACTTCCCTCGAACTATGAAAAGATCACGGCGGGAGAGGTTTTTCATTATTGTTGGCCTTTGGGGGCCCTTACCGGCCTTCGGGACCGTCAAAAAATGACTCAGGACGAAAAACCGGTCCCGGGGAACGGGTCCAGACCGCGCTGGGGGTCGACGTCATGAAAAATTCATGACGTCGGGGGTCCTTCAACGGGCGGCCTTGGGTGAGCCTGCCGGCCAGCCACAACAGGGGGAGCTGTGGTCCTTACCCCCCTGGGGCAACCCATCGTATCGACGATCTCTCGAGAGGGGCGCCGAAATCGATGGGTCCCCCAGGGGGGTAGGGATCACAGCTCCCCCAGTTGTGGCCGGCCATGGCCTGCTTCCCAGACCCCCGACGTCATGATTTTTTCATTACGTCGACCCCCAGAGGTCCCGACCCTTTCCCCATGACCGGCTTTGCATCCTGAGTCGTTTTTTGACGCTCCCGAGGCCCGGTGAGGGCCCCCAGAGGCCGAAAATTAGGAGAAACCTCCCGTCATGATTTTTTCATTACTCGAGGGGGTCTGGGATCACAGCTCCCCCAGTTGTGGCTGGCCTGGCCTGCTTCCCAGGCAGCATCGAGCCCCAGAAAGTTCCATAGGCGGCTTGCTCTCGCCACTTGCGGCCCCAGACGGGCCCCTGGCCGGACCCTCTGGGGCCGTCGAGCAGCGACTCGGGACGACAGGCCGATCGGGTCGGGACTTCCGGGGACCGCGTATTTAGGGGGAAAACAAACCTACCTCGCTTTTGACCACCCTCGCTTCCAAGAGATACCAAACGATGCCAAATTGCAGCCTGTACTGGTCAGGCCGCTTGACGAGGAGGCGCGTGGCATGGCTTGGTTTTGCCTGGAAGCGAAAGCGGGGTAGGTAATTCACGCTCTGAGTGTTGAACAAATCAGGACGTCGCATATGTCGGTGCTGGGAGCCTCTGTGGACCTCGGCGCCGCGACCATGAGCGTGGTTTCGACTAGATGCTGTCCAAATCTCGAGCGCTCCTCGCTCGATGGCTCAGAGATGGGGTCCTGAGGGCTGGGGTCTTGAGGGCGAGGTGCGTCAAAGAAAGGAAAAATCCACCCTGGGATTCCTTTTAGCCTTAGGTCCCCATCCCTCAAGACCCCATCTTTGAACCACTGACTCTTCACCCTTTCGTCCGAATCTCGTCCAAACTTCATCGAAAAACCAAATCCCGCGAAATCCAAACGGGATCCCCGAAGCCGGAAGGCAATTCGGGATCTTCCGAGGCTGCCATGGAAGACCACACAAACCCTGCCGTTGCCGCATTTTGTTCCATCAGGCGGCCCCATGCCGGCCGGCTGCTATCTACGGTCAGGAGCTCTTTCTAAACCGGTGACACGCTATGCCATAACGCCCCTGCGAGCGGACAGCGTGTCGCTCCGCTCCGCGGGGCGGGAGGCCCGGGAAGGCTCGGGACGAGGACTCCTGGGGACGGCGACGCTGGTAGCGTGTCGCGACGAAGCGTGGTGGGCCAGAACCAGCGGAGCGACGCGCGATCCAAACACAAAGTCTCGGCCATCTCTGTCCCAGACCTCCCACATCTTGGAGAACACCATGCGGAAATGGTTCGGCGTGTTCGGCCCCTGAGGGCGCTCGCTGGCCCCGGGCCCGCTTCACAAAGACGACTCTCCAAGCCGCGTAAGCAACAAGTTGACACGCTGGTCAACATCGAAACGCTCGACAATTCGGGCACTTATCAGGAAGCGGGTTCTCCCGTGCTGTGAGGAGGGCACTGCGGGATTTCGGACGGCCCTGCGCCTGAAGCAGATTTCTCATGCCAGCATTGATGAAGCAACGCCGACCACACAATCACTGAAACAATGCCCGTCACATACTTTTTGTCGAGTCTTATAAGAGGTAAAGTCACCCCCCGGGGAAAAGGTCGGGACTTCTGCAGGGACCAAAAACCAAACACATCGGCGGCGAGTCTCGGAAGCCCCCCGGTCTTCTGACAAGTTTCCTAGGCCTCCCCCGAAGACGCAGAGAATGCTTCTGCCTCAGGCGGTTTCAGGAGGCCTCCGCAGGCGGCCCCAGCAGGCCAATCCTGGGAGGTCCGGGGGGGGGGTGTCGTTTGGTGGAAGTCCCTGGGTCTGTTCAATCGAACTCTCCCGGGTTTGTTCGGTAGAAGTCCGGGGGCTTGTTCGGTAGAACTCCGGGGGGTGGGTTCGGCAGAAGTCCGGGGGGGGTGTGCGGTCGAGGTCCAGAGGTTCGTTCGGTTCCTCTGCGGAGGCTTGTTCGGTTCCTGCTCGGAGGCTCGTTGTGAAGTTCGTGGGCTTGCTGCACTCCCACGTCTCCCTCGCACTCACCCCTTCGCTCGCCGCCGATCCTGGGGGCCAGACGTGGAGCAAGAGACCGAGACAGCGGGTCTCTGGGGCCAACGGCGCAGGGCGGCCGGGGCGTGTGCCCCACGGGCGGTTAAAAACATCTCAAGCGGCGGGAGGACACCGAGCTGAGCAGGGCGGTCAGGCCACCTCCGAGGAGGTGTGCCGAGCTGGTGCGTCTTATTACCAGGAGGAGGAGGGGGAGGAGGAGGGGGAGGAGGAGGAGGAGGAGGAGGAGGAGGAGGAGGAGGAGGAAGTGGGTAGACACATGGAGCAGGAAGGCGCTCACAAGCACAGTGGGCTGCCGCCCGCCCCCTGAGGACGAGGGAAGAGGGAAAGCCACCCCACTTTTGAAGTAGGAAGGCGCCTGAAGAGTATTGAGGTCCAGATGTTCCCAGGTACATACTTCCAACGGCCGGCATGCAATTACGTATGTCCATGTCGCATGCTTCCTCTGCCCCCTCCTCCCTTCGCCCTTCTTCTGCCTTCCTCCTTCTGCCTGTCCTCCTGCTGTGTGGGTGTCCTTGTCCGTGCCGTGGCTGTCACTCCCGACCATCATGTGGTGTTGGGTTCTCGTTTTGAAGAGACAGCGCCCCGAGTCACTCCTCCTCCTTCATCCTCCCCCTTCTTCCTCCTCCCTCCTCGTCATCGTTTCGGCACACCGCTCACACGTTTCGTGGCCTCCTGAGGGGGCTCCACCGAGGGCACCAATGGCAAGGTCCGCATGCAGTTCCACCGCCCCAGTTCGGCGCACCCCTCACATGTTTCGTGGCCCCATCGGGACCACCACCGAAAGCACCAGTGGCAGGGTCCGCATGCGATTCCACCCCAGATTTCGTCGCACACCTCACATGTTTCATGGCCCCATCGGAAGCTTCACCGAATGCACCAGTGGCAGGGTCCGCACGCGGTTCCACTCGTGGCCCAATGGGGGGGGGGCTTCACCGAAGGCCTCACTGGCAGGGTCCAGATGCAGTTCCAGCTCCCTCATTTCGGCGCGCTCATAGAAAGCTCCACCGAAGGCACCAGTGCCAGGGTCCGCATGCAAGTCCAACCCACAATTCGGCGTACCTCTCACGCGCGTCGCGGCCCAATGGGGATCTGCACCGAAGCCACCAGTGGCAAGGTCCACACGCGGTTCCGCGCGCTTATAGATGGGTCCTTCGTCAGGATAATGCATGTTCCAGTATGTGTTGCTCTGTTCCTTCTCTCTCTCTCTTTTTTTTTTTCTCTCTCTCTCTCTCTCTCTCTCTCCCTCTCACTCTCTCTCTATATCGCTCCTATGTGAAAATATAATATGTATCTACACATATACATATATGTGTAATCTTGAGCCGTCGTGGCTCGTCCTTCGTCCTCTTCGGCCCCTTTTGCGCGAGGGGGGGGGTTGTCCATAACCAACGCCTGGGGGATTGATCTTCGAGGACTTCGGTTGGCGGTGGATATGGATGTATTTCGTCCTCCGACGGCCCGAACATATTTACATCGACCGCCATCCGAGATCCTGCAATATCCCTCCCCCAGGTGGCGGTTATGGATACATCCTCGCCTCGGATTTTTGGGCCACCTCGAGGCCGTCTGGCGTTCTTCTGCGGGCGTCTGCGGCTGCCTCCACGGGCTCTTGCGTGCCCGAGGGGTCCCGGATGCCCCCGGACTGGCGGGGCCTGGGCGGCCCCCTCCCCCCCAAACATCCTTGCAGTATCCAAGATTTCGCTCCGGTCCCCCAGGGCCGGCAGAGGTCGATCGGGGATGCAAGAGCCTGTCAGAGTTGGCCACGGGGTCCACGGACCCGTTCCGAGCGGATTCTGATCGGGACTCAAGCCAGAGGGAGTGAACAGGAGGAGGAGGAGGAGGACGAGGAGGAGGAGGGAGGAGGAGGAGGGAGGAGGAGGACGAGGAGGAGGAAGAGAAGGAGGAGGAGGAACAGCAGCAGCATCAGCAGCATCAACATCAGTTATGCTAACGGTTTGGTTGTGTTGTGTAGTTGTGTATTGTAGCAGTGTGTGTGTGAGTGTGAGGGGGATTCTAACGGTTCTTGACATAATATCTATCGACATCTCAGGGTATCGTTGTTGACAGCGGTGCAACTTACAAGGCGTCACCCCCAATGCCAATTAGTTGCTGGGCGGCCGACTATAAACACAGAGACCAATGCAGAACCAGTGCCAATGCCATGCAGATATGTATAGATGTCAATATATATCTATACACATACACCCGCATCCTCTTTTGCACCCTTTCACTTAGTCAGTGGTCAAGCCCGGCTGCATATCCACCTTGTGTTCGAGGTGATGCTTGTGTTCACGTGCCGCTCTCATGTATATACTCTTACGTCGTGGATCACACCAAGTCCTCCCCA